TCGGACAGCACCTCGGGGAACGGCAGAGCCAGCGATCCACTCCCCTTGGGAATGGTGGGAGAGGAGGGCGGGCATTCTAGACACGGCACACAGGGAGGATCCCAGCACAAGGGGGTAAGAACACGAACTCGACTCCCAGCGCACAGCCGTTGTGAGCCGTTTTACAGGGTACCGAACTCATGTCCAAGCAGACAACAGGCTGTAGCGCGTCACCTGCTCCTGAGCACAAACAGATAGCCCGAGTCTACTCAATATCCCCCTCCTACTGTCTCTGTGCCGCCTGTAGGCCTTGAATAGGCCCAGCCTTCTATGCAGTAGGCATCTCCTTCATGAACGTCATGAACCTGAATGGATCTGAGGAGCTGAAGCCATTTTCACAGACACTTGCGTATGGGCCGCTTCCTTCCATCGGGAAGGTGTGCAGTGAGAGATTAGTGGGAATACCTGTCAGACACAGACACAGAGTGTGTGTGTGTGTGTGTGTGTGTGTGTGGGGGGGGGAGCTGGCTTGACTTGGCATTTCCTGTTGCCAGACTGGCACGGACGGTCCTTCCAGGTTCTGGCTTTCCGGCCTGCAGAGGGGCGTGGGGCAGGAAAGTCACCCTCCGGGGTGTCCGACCAAGCACAGCACCCCGACCCGCGGGCGCCTGCGCTGTACAACAGACACGGCTCCGCTGTTCGGCACTACCTTGTGAGCGGCCTCTCTCTCACACACACACACACACTTGCTCTTCATGTCTGGAAATGACACCCCGTGGCTCAATATGTCAGAAGCAAACTGCGTGACGTACCGCTGCGACGCATTCGAGCCTAATGGGAGAGTAAAGTGACCAACTGCAGCGCGGTCCAGGAGGAGACGGGGAAACACACACAGGGCACACACCTGCAGGTCTCGGGAGGTACATCAAGACACTGCAGGCTGGGCCACAGCTCAGGAGCAAACCCAGCACGCTACCCCTTGAATGCATTACGAAAACCCCATTCAAGTCAGGCTTTACCACCCCCACAGGAAAGGGGGATCACGGTTTTCTCTGCCAGATTTGCAGGACCACGGACAGACTGGAGATCAACAGAGGCGCAGAGATGCACAAAGACTACAAAACGACACGCACCGCACAGAGGTAGGTAGACTGAGATGAGATGCACACAGAGGAATCCAATTGGATGGAGCAGCTGAGCTGCCCGTCTCGGCACCCTAGCTTAGTGCCGCGTTAGGCTGGGAGAGCACAGCCCGTCACAGTACGCCCCGCTCTGCCAGAAAATGTCAGCTTACCCCGCAGCGATCCCCCAGTCCAGCCCGGCGTTTCTTACCGAGTGAGAAACGCCGATCCTCTTCGTGTCTTGCAGGGCGTGGTCTCGTCTTTATTATTATTATAATTATTATTATTGTAGATTATGTACATAGAATTCTTTGCTGCGTTGCTCGTTTTCCCTTCTCCTCCGGCTGATCTGGGAGACGACGGGCTGTCGGCACCCTGGGCGAAGGGCTCAGCCGAAAGACGCTTAGCTTGAGGTACAACGAAAGGAAGAAAAAAAATAGAAATATACAGATAACCGCCTCTTCTGCTGGTGGACTACGGCAACATGCGGCAGCGTAAAAATATAAATTCAGTAAAAAAAAAGCACGGATTGTTCCGATGCCTATACAAAAGCTCTGTAGTGTATGGTTGAGAATAACATTAATACGAAATGTTTAAAGCGATCAACCAGGGACAGTCGGGATAGAGGAGGACTGTTTTTATTACTTATTTTGGTTCTTTCTGTTTTTTTTTTAATTTTCATGCAGAGAATGGGGGAGATTGCTTGAAAAAAATATATTTTCCCGATTCCTGTAATATGCGTGTATACACTGGACAATCCTCTTCGCCCGTTGTGTTCGTAGCTGGCTGAGAGACCCGGGGCGGTTTTAGCTCTTTCGTTATTATTTATACGTGTATATATTCTCGGTGAGAAGTCTGTATTCCTCCTTCAAATCCGGTTTTCCTTGTGCGTTACAAAAAATATGTTCCAGATCTAGGCGGACTGCAGCCCCGGTCTCCCTCCAGCTGCCCCGGTTTGTTACAATGTAACAATAGGGTTTGGAATGCTACAGTGTGGCCATATATACCCATTGTGACATCACGAGTACAGTGAACACACACGCGAAGCTGGGGCAGGCGGGAATTGTAGTTTTTGGTGCTCGACGAGAGACAAAAGACCTTTTGTATTTCAGTTTTACTGGATTACCCCCCGTTCTGTGCTTTTCGTTTGAAACCGGAAGGAAACGAGAAATTATTTCAGCACCAGTTAGAGCGTTTCCACCCAATAGTTTTTGCAGCTCGTTTCGGAGACAGATAAGGCATGCGGGAAAGAAGCCGGTTTTCCTTAAGAAAACTGATGGAATACGAAGAATGAACTCAAAGTGTGCTTTTCGCCAAAACGCGTTATCTCAATGCCTTGACATTGCGTTAACTAACGCTGATGTGATTGACTGGACTTTAACCCGTCAATAACCCACTCTTTCCACGGGAAGTGAATCGTTTTATTAAGGAGAGTAACAATGAACGGGTAACGAAAGGAAGGTTAGAAAAGGACTGGCAGATTTCAGAAGGGCATGTAATTCGGGGAAGGAGAAGGGGAAACTACACTACCCAGAATACCCAGCGTGGCCCATGATTCTGCTAGTCTCCTATGAGTCAAATGACTTCCAGTAAAACGTTCGCATTGATCGCTGATAACAGTACGTTGTGAACCTGGGGTACACTCAAGCGAGTTACGTTTCAGGGCCTTTCAAATTCTTGAGCCGAGCAAAGGGGAAGGAAAATTCTTCGGGAAAGGGCTCTTTTATTGTGTGGTGCTCGACGTTGAAACCTCTCATCTTTTAAGAGGGAGGGAGGAAGGGAGGTGGGGTCGCTGTTTAGAACAAAATAAATCCACATCTGGTTTTAAAATCCTCCCTTTCCTCCCTAATGATACAGAAAGGAGAACAGAAGTCTGCATTTATCCAAGCGAGCGCGCCCACAGCCGCTCAGCTGTGGCGGAGGCAGCAGCGTAAACTAGCTTGGTTTGGTTGTCATAGCAACCCCGACTGTTCGTAATTTCCGCACTGGCCCGTGTTGTTTACCTAGTGCGCCGGCCTGGCGAGGTCTCTGTCCAATTACAAGACAAAATTAACTTTAAAATAGATTTTTTTCCCCTCACCAAGCTAACAGCGAACAGCAGCAGCCTAATACCATAAATAACATTAAGGGTTTGCATGGCTTCTGCGAAGAAGAGTCCAAGGAACGATTTCCAGGTAAAGACGGCCAGGTTTATTTAGGGATCTGTTTCAGGAAGAATTGAAGGCCAAGCATTCTCCACAAAACGTTTCAGTACTCTTATAGTCTGATAAAAAAAACACACCCCTTCGTTAAAGTTTTAAGGAGATGAAAACGTGGCAGTGAGACCCAAGTACAGTTTTTTCTTCATGAGCAGAATATGACCAGAGGGGTTATTCAGCACCATCCAGCATTTCCGCTAAGGCTTGACATATCCAGGACGTCTTCTGGGTGAAGTCTGGAGATCCCCGGGCGACTGAAAACGAAAATGATCCGGTTTCCTGGATAGGTCTTTCACTGCTTCCGGGCCACACCACTTCGATCTCCTCTGAGCCTTGCGGCGTTCACCTACCGGAAGAGAAGGCGGGGGGGCTTTTCTGCTCTTAATTGTATGTATTCTACATAGAAGCAGCTATCTGGGACAGTGCTAAACCACCTGTAAAATCTGTGCCGTTAAAATACTGCGCTGCTCGCTGACAAGTCCACCTGGAGAGGAGACTGGGAGTACAGAATTAGACTGAAAGATAAAATAAACTTTAAAATCAAGGGCAGTCGTTTCGTTCCGTCGAGCAAAAGGAACCTTCAGATAATCACACGCTTCAGAAAAGCTGCCACCCTGTAAGTGACATGCAGAAAAACGAGGCTTGCGTCTCAGGATATGGGTTTTATTTCATTCCGTCTCGGGAAGCAATTACACTCCTATATTTCAAAGACGGACATTCTGTATCAAACTGAGCAAAATTGTTAACGGAATTACTGGACACAAAAACAAGAAGTTGCAGCACCCTCTCACCTCTCTTAAAAAACAAACAAAACAAAAGACATTAACCGATACAGAAAATATGAACATTTAATTAAATGCACAAAAACTAAAAAAAAAAGGACCAGAATGCAAACAATGAGAGCCAGTTCATTATCTCAAATGTTAAAAGTTTCTAGCATTAACATCAGTTGTATTTTTATTACATGAAATAACACGCTTATCGTGACAAAACAATACAGCACTGGAGGCCGCCCTCATCTTACACATGGGGCTAAAATCTTTCTTGTTTGCTTAATACTCCCGTTTAAAGAACGGAAAAGATCCAAACATCATATTTTAATGTGTTCGCGGCTCTTGTGTCTTGACGACCAGAGTCCTGATCTCAAAGACATTGAAACCTGTCCCCGTTTTCCATTCTATCTGTAGAGAGTGCCAATGAATTGAGCGGCTTGCTGTAAAAAAACGTCAGCACTCCGGTTTGGTATGGATTTCCACAAGCACATGAGAATCTAGACCTCGAGTCGCAGAGGTCCAGTGCCTTCCCTGGATTTCAGTCCTCATTACCTCATTATTTCTCCGTTTCTATCAGTCAGTTCTAGCACAAAGCTAAAATAGCTCCTTACGGTTGTGTTTCTGCATAGGAAAAATATTTTTTTTTAATGGATGCTGAGTAATTAAACATTATAAGACACACATTCAGCAAATAGCTGCTCGAGGCCCCTACCTCCCGATCACTCCATTGCATTCGTCTTTATACCGATTTTAATGCAACAACAAAGGAGTGTCTTGTTGCAACAACCCGCAAAGATGCAAACTGGGCGGGTCGCAGGTACAGTGGGCCTGCTCTGGAGTAAGAGATCTAAGTCAGGCACGCTGTGCTTGGCACAACCCCAGGAATACAAAACCATATGGAAGGAAACTCCCACTTGGGGCAGCACTGGCTGGGATGAAGCCAGATTTCCGTTGTACAAACATTTGTGCTGCAAAAAGCCCACTACTCAGTTTGACTGCAGAATGTGCCTTTACGCTATATGAATTTAGATCACTAAATGCCTAGAGTCATGCCCCTGCCTTAACTGCTCACTGATCTCCATTGTTGGCACATTATTTCCTGTAACTAGTCGCTCCCTGCAGCAGTGGTCCAATATGTTGTGTATTTGAAGGTGGATATCCAGCAAAATGAAAGTGACTTCTCCCTGCAAGGGAACCACGCTTCACTGCAGTTCAGGCCCATCAAGAATTTACAGAAGAAAACAATAAGCATACCCTGATCCCATAGAACCATGATCCAGCATTTTTTATAGGTCCTCCTTAAAACAACTGATGATGACTTAAGACTTGGATCCAATACAAGTCTTGGATCAATTTAGCCAAGTCATTTCCTGCACTTTTGAGCCAGGAGTAGCCAGAGTATTGTAGTGTTTCCCACATTCCAAAATGATCTCTTTAACTGAACACGGTTGCATGTTGGAAATGTTGGCTTTGCTGCTTTCTAAATTGCCTTTCGTTTAATTTGCGACCAGCATTTACGTCAATTGAAAACAAATTCTCTTCCGTGGAGTGTACCCACTTATACAGCCAGGCTTCTTACAGACACAAAGCAAAGCACCCTGGCTCAAGAGTACAAAGGCGGTGTCCTCGCACAGAATTCAAACCCGTAACCTAGGAGTCCAGAGCTCTGAATGCAAGTCCACCCTGCTGCTTCGTGAATTACCAAGGCCTGGACAGCTGTAACAAGTGGCTCGATGTGTGCTACAGTGCACCGAGTATCTTTTAGGCCATAGGCAGCCAACGTCTGTCCTAGGGCACTCCCGTGTCTCCTGTCTTTTATACCAGAGGTCCCTGAAGAGGCACTGTTGGGACCCACCAGTCTATGCAAGGTTGGAACCTCTAGACCCTTATTATCTGAACACATCTTTATCTCATGAGCTGTGCATTCTCCAAAGTAAAAAAACAGATGCCAAGCTGGGTTTGTGAAGCTCCTGTCTCACTGAACACAGATTTTAGTGGGGATGAATCGCGTCAACAAGCAAAGGTTCTTTCTTCGGCACATGAAGAAGCAAAACAGACCCATTGCCATTATTTGAATTTATCTGGGAAATCCCTCTATATATTTAACAATAAATGCAAACACGGTCATTTCAATAGCAGTGATTTACATTATCGTTGAACTTTTAAACAGCAAGCAAATTTTTTAAAAAAGCTTTGTATACACCTGATCACACCTGAATATTTTTTTCCAGATCAAAAACACTCAGGCAACTTGATAGTCTCACGATACAGATTCTGTTTCTGTAGCAGATGAGACTCCAGATAGTCTGAGAATTAAAACCTTTACTGTCAGATTAAAAAAAAAACAGAAACCACCTTGTGTGCCTTGTTTTCTATGTCCTCGGTGGTGCTCCTGAGCCAGACAGCAGCTGCAGGGTCGCCACTCCAGATGCAGTCTTGAGGGAAACAAGTCGATGATCATACTGCGCATTTTCATCTATGCAGTGTCTCTCAAAAAAGCAGAGGATCTTCAGGGCACTGCACAATTTACACACCACAGGTTTACTGCCTTATCTCAAAAGCGCCAGGGTTTGGGAGGTCTAAGCTCTGGGGATTCACTTGTTCATTCTTCTTGCATTGGCTGTACTAGACAGCAATATCAACATCAGTGCACTGGGGGTGCAGTTAAACATAAGAACTTTGCCTAAATCCTTTGATGCAGGATTTCTTAAAACAATTCCCCCCCCCTCTCTCCTGGAAGTGTTAAATCCCTCACTGCTAAGGCTGATGACCCCTGAATCAAATTTTTGAAGCATGACTATATCATGGAGAATACTTATAAAATCAATGGTATATTATCACTATGCACTATTTGTTGCGCTGAAGTGAAGTTCTGGAAGCCTTGCAATTCTCAAGGGGGTGCAAATTCACCCTTGCCGCTGCTGTAATAACATCCTGTCCAAGCATGATACAAACTCTAAAAAGCTACACTTGGCACGTAACTCAACTCAGAACCACCATAACAGGTTTGCAAAGGGTCCATATGTATTCAATAAAAAGAGTCTATATTGGGAACAGTCTTTCATACCAAGTGTAGATAACGCTTGGAATAACCAACCCCGTAATGTCAACCTATCCAGTCCACTGGAATTCCTCCAAGACTCATAACGAAGCTTCTTCAGGATAACATGGAAGGCGTGCCAAGCATGCCAAGAAGGGCTGAATGCCCTGTTCTGATTCCATTACTGGGATGAGAGTCTGTTCCAGGGGAGATGGGGAAAAAATGAGACTTGCAATGTGGACAGAAAGGGAGCTCTGAGGCTGTTCACCCTGTTCTAGACTGTCAAATGGTTCTAGATCTTAAAGAACATGAACAGGATGTTCAGGGGTCTAGATCACTCTGAGTACTAAGCAGAAACAAAGATCACTGGCTCAAGAGATCTTTCTTTTGATAGATCTGGAATAAATATCTAGCTCTGTAAATAAACTCTCCTTTCCATTTTAATAAATGCAATGCTTAGTGAAATATGCAAAGAAACGGTAACCTAGCTGCTGCAATTAGCACCATTTGCTTCTGTTAGCGTCTTAATTATAAGAATATGAACCTTTTAAAGTTCGTATTCGCCGATAACCAGGGCAGTGCTGCTTATGAGGAGCAGGTCCTGTGGTAGACCAGCACAGTGTTTGTGCTCGGATCCCAGAGAGCCAGAAGAGAGGCGTGGCTGATCCAGTAGAGTCTCCTGACTCCGCCTCTGTAACATCCGCAGTTTCACCTACAGCACTCAGAATAATAAACTTCACAGCGTGTGCTCACGGATTCTCACCATCATCATCATCGGCTTCCCAGCACACAGAGGGAGGTGTTCTGTCCTATAGAGAACTGTCCGAGAGCACCGCAAGGCCCTCAACGCGCCCCTCAGTTCTGCTGCCCAGCCTAGTAAGACATCTCTTGTTGGCACAAAAAATAGTTTAAAGACTTGTTGCCGGTCTTCAGCATGCTGCACTATAAAAACACATTTGCACATGATACAGGGCTCTTAGGATTTCCTAGTTTCTGTTGTTACACAAAGGTCGCATACCCCATTCTTCGTAGAAAATTCACTGCAAGCATGCACACGAGGACAGCAATAAAGGCCTCCAAAGGGAACAACAGCCATCACATGGACCCACTACATGATCGTCAAGAAGTGGCGTTTTCATTTGCCTAACAAACGACAACAAAGCTCAACTCCCCAGCGCGCGTGGGTGTCTGTCACGCTGGGTGTGGATGAGAATCTTCAGTGGGAAAAGGTGACCTTTCTTCCAGGCCACTTCCCCAATGCCCAACCACACAAATTTTTTTTTTTTAACTGAGCCAATACAACTCCCCCCAGACACAGGCCGGGGCTTAAACTTAGCGACGGAGCCAGGCAGCACTGACTGCACCGGCTCAGACCAGCAGGCCTCAGGCCGGTGACCCAGGAAGAGGCCCTGGGGGGAAAAAAAACATGTTGGATGTTCTGTCCTTTGGGACTGTGGGCACTGGTACATCAACCTCAGCGACGGGCCCACTGGAGAGAGGAGGGAAAACGAGACGAAGAGAGGCGCAGACTGGCTTCCCAGAAGGGCAGTCCATAGCGTCTGGGACGGGGAGAGTGACGAGCGATCCCCTCTGAGTCACAGGTTAAAGAAAAATCATCTAACAAAAAAAAAAATCGTCAAGGTTCCTTCACTCTGGGCTCCCTCCCCACACCCCCCGGCAGGTCAAAGCCGTGCTGGGCAAGGCAGGGTGCAGGGGTTTCTGTACAAAAAGGGGCGACGTCCCAAGCTGGACTCTCTGGGATGGATGAAGGGTCTTATAGCATCCAGCACCCCCAAACCTTTCGGAGGAGGGTCTCTGGCCTTCATTTCAAGATGATGTGGTATCCGTCATTTGATTCAGCTGTGGGGAAACAAGAACCGTGAAGTACTTGTACGGGCTTTAGTCATGTCAAAGGAATTCTTATATTAGTCCTAGTACATTTTTATACAGTAGATTTCCCGTGTTTTAGTTATGGATTACTTTACTTAAATTGGCTACTAGAATCACCTAAGGGAATGGAACTGGAGGCGGTTTTGTAAACGGACAGATGGATGTAGATTCAGAGACCAGACCGAAACAAAATTTCCACGCAGAGGACTTTCTCTCACCTTTCATTGTGTCCAGAACAAAGCAAGACTCGTCTGGGAAATTCTGTATCATCTGTAATAAAAAGAAGGTAGAACACAAAATTGAAGCTCATGAGTTACCAACATGAAAGGACAGGCGGGGCTTCATCACTGTCCTTTACTAACGCCGCTGTCTCCGTGTGTTGCCCTTGGACTGGCTTCAGACCCCGCCCAGCAGGTGGCGCCTAAGAAACGATGGGCCACGCTGATTTCAGGAACCAACTCAGTTTGTGTTGCAGCACGTGGGAGGGGGGTATGAGAGTTTCTAATTGCCCCACTCCTGACACTGGCCAGTTCTTTTTCTAGCTGCTTAATCCTGGTGCTGACAGGCTGAGCAGGGCAGTCCAGATGCCCCTTTCCCCAGCAGCAGTCCCCAGCAGCTCCCAAGCCAGCCGAGATGTTTCGCATCTGGAGGCCACATCTTACATTCAAGCTGTTTTAAGGATTAGGGATCCTTGCATTTCATTCCAAAGAGTTTCACACCAGCGGCATGCAGGATCCACTTTGCTTACCACCACTATTCAAACCCCCCACTTGGGGTGCACAGTCTCTGCTGTGTGATGGGGCTGCTGGCGCAGAGCAGCTGCTGTTCTGTCAGTGGATTGGAGGAGAAGCTTTAGGGAGGCCAGACTGTACATGTCCTAAATGAAAATCAGGAAATTCACCCTCTTGTTCTTCTCAGAAGCACCAGGGGATCTATATTGACCAAGCAGTCAGGACTCTTGAATCAACCTCTCATCCTGAAGCAACAGTCTAAACTAAAGAGCGCCATCTACTGTTCCAGCCCCATCCCTGTACTAACCAGCTTTGTTCAGCTCCCGAGATCAGGCGACAAGGTGGTCAAGTCCACAGGTATAATTGTCTGGCTAAAACCCCTCCACTCTCTACAAGCTCAGACCAACAAGAAGGGCATGTAGACAATTCCTGCACCTAACTCCCAAGTGTGCCGCAAAATATCACTGAAAAAGCTGTAAGAGTGTTGAAAAAAAAAGTTGCCATACAGAAGAATATGGCCAAAATTCAGCCTCCACTTTCAGTTCCATAAATGTACATTCTTTCAGAGGCACTGCATTACTTTGAGCACTAGATCACACTCTTCACTGAGCATTCCAGCATTCTCTGAATAGGAGTCTGACTCATCAGGACGTGTGACCAGCGTGCCACCTGTGACTCAGGCATCCATCTTGTTTCCCATCTACTAAAACAAATTTGGATCGAAGGGAGAAACAAGTACAAACCCCTCAAACAAAAAGACCAGGGCTACGATAAAGACAAAGAAAAGACTTTGTCCAATATAGAAATGCAGGAGAATAAGCAGTACATCGAGGATATGCAATTCAGAATGTCAGGAGGAGAGGGTGAACATTTTTGGTTATGTTTTGGAAAAGATATTTTGAAGACAAGTAGTATAAATGATCGATCACAAAAGGAGAGATTTTACAACCTCATCTCGTTAGGATTTCCTTCCTCTTCTCATCCAGCTGCTTGACAAGGACTTCCATTTGACTAATCAATTGCTTCAGAAGGCTTTCCTATTGCACTGATTTCTTCATTACGGTCGTCAGGTTTAAATCAAACGTTGATTGAAGAAGACTCACGTACAGGTGCCTTTCAGGATTTTGCACACATGATCTCAAGTCCCCAGGGAACTTAGCCACACTCCCCCATCTCTTTGTGTGAAGTGTCTCCTGGCCTCGGTTTCAAATGGACTTCCATGTCGCGGCCACTTACCCATTGAAACACAAATCACACAAATCCTCTTGCTGGCATTTTCATTTGCTATGGTCTCATTGCTCATGTCACTGTCGACCTGCCTCCCTTTGCTGGCTGCCACGGATCTCATCTCCTGGAGGATGGGAGCACCTGGAGTCGGCTCATGGCCGGGCCCCTTCCAGAACAAACACTGGGACCTGCCGGAGCTCGGGCTCTGTCAATTGGGGTTTTCCCCCCCCGAGGAGAGTCCTGCTAGTTTTACTAAGCTTTGTTACAATCAGTTTTCCTTGCTTTGCCTTGCCAGCGTACTCGGAACCGACCAGTGCTTTATCTCCTGACTGTGATCCCAGATCACCCCTTGGCTTTGACCCCAGCTCTGAACTTGGACTGCACCTCTCTTAGTCTCCCAGACACCTGAATGTGCACCACTACAGTGCCTCCCCGGCTCTGACCCTCTCCTGCTGTGGATTTAGACCCTGGGCTGTGTCTCCCCGCGTGCACGGCTCCTGGGCTCGGCCGTCCGCAAGCAGCCCGCCCCTCGTCTCCAGAGCGCATGTTCCCTGTTCCCTCCAGCCTCAGTAACGTGCAGCCCTGGAAACTCCCCAAGTGCTGTCTGCAGGCTCCCCATCCCGGCTGCATTTTCCGCCAGCTCGCCTGGGCTGCGCTCCCACTTCCGTAGCGAGACATCACACATAGATAATAAAGCTTAAGCAATTAACCTGGTGATTAGTGCAAGGAAGGGGGTCAAGCAGAGCTCCCAGTATCAGAACCCTTGGCTTGCACTTCCGTTTGGGCAGCGCCACTCTTACCTCATCGCTGACCAGGACATGGATGCCCGTGGGACCCTGCTTGTAGATCTGGCTGATCTGCCGCGGGGAGATACTGAAGAGCTGGGCGATCTTCTCCGTCAGCTCCGCGGCTGTCAGGTCCTCCAGGTAGATGGCGTGGTACACTAGAGCACAGACACAGCTGGTATGAGAGCTGCAGCTGGCTCCCTAGGGGAAAAAACGCCACACGGGCAGGGCCTGGAGCTTGTGTGTGGCCCTTTCAGCCCTTTATGGCTGGAGTTGTTTTTGTCCATGAATTACTTTCTCTTAGCGCTTTATTTAGGGGCGCCAGAGCCTAACCCAGCAAGCAAGAGGCGCAAGGCAGGACGCACAGGACACCAGTCCATTGCATGGCAGACACACTATCACACCAGGGCCCATCTTCTCAGAAGCCCATTAACCTACCAGCAGGATTTTGGACTGTGGGAGGAAACCAGAGCACCTTGGGGAAACATACAAGCAAACAGCACCCCAGGAATTGAAACTGGGGTCCCAGATCTGTGAAGAGGAAAAGGTAAGAACTGTGCTACAGTGCGGCCCTAATTGTTTCTGGGTAAAGAAAAAACCCACCTGAGAAGTGCCCATCTATTGCAGATCACAATTCACTTCTAGCTGAAACTTTGGCCAGTGTGCATTTCAATTCTGCAGTCTACCATTACTGCTCCCTGAAAATATTCCCTTCCTCTTCTTACAAGCCCAGATTCAGAGCTGACAGGACCGTAAAGGGTTAACAGATTTCAACTCAACCTAGTTTCTTTACGAGTAAATAAAACAGGACTCGTTAGCTTTAGTAAATATAGACAATTATCACTCTGCTGCTTTTTCTATAACAGTGATGAGATCTCAAAAAGTACCAGAACAATCCTTCCCCTCCTTCCACTATATCCATGAGATTAAGAGTTACTTATTGGGTAAGGGAGGGAATTCAGATTGAACAGAGCAAAAAATGAGACTGATAATGATTCTTTAAAGACAAGATAAGCATCTAAAATATGTCACAAAGCACAGGACACTGTAAACAGAGTTCCAAGGAATGGGTGAACTGCAGAGGGCACACTACTGTCCAGCAGAGGGCAGACCTGAGCAAGTGGCCAACCATGCTCACGGAGAAGTAAAACCGTGCCTGTTGAAGTAATGCACTAAGTGCAATGAACAGTGCGCTAGGACCACTTGCACTGCGAACACTGCAAGACTGCAGTTAGGTGTGTGGGAAAGCCCCCCTGAGCTCACCAAAGAAGGTCTGGTTGGCCGCATCTCCATTCTCATGCTTCTGCTGCTGTTGCTCCCGAATCTGCTGAGACTCCTGGCACACGTACACCGTCAACCTGGGCCTCACCAC